CAAAAAGTATTTTGTCTGTGTATGCCTTTCCAGGGTTCCAGGGATCAAAGTCAGGCCACCAGGCTTGCACTGCAAGCACCTTTATCCAAAGAGTCATCTTGCTGGCCCCTTATTCATCTTTGTATCTTTTTTTTTTTTTTTTCGATCTTTTTGAGACAGGGTCTCCCTGTAGCCCCAGCTGTCCTGGAACTCACTATGTAGACCAGGCTGGCCTTGAACTCACAGAGATCCGCCTGCCTCTGCCTCCCAAGTGCTGGGATTAAAAGCGTGTGCCACCATGCCCGGTTCATCTTTGTATCTTTTTAATAATAATATAGGGTAAGCATGATGGCTCACACCTGTAATCCCAGCACTTAGGAAGCTGAGACAAGAGGATTGCTGCAAGTTTGAGACCAGCCTAGGATACATGATAAGCGCAAAGTCCATTCTGATATTCATAGTGAAACCATGTTTCAACAGCTCTACCTACCCCGTGTATGTGTGTGTGTGTGTGTGTGTGTGTGTGTGTGTGTGTGTGTGTAATTCTTTGAGGGCTGGCAAGATAGTTCAATGGATAAAGGCACTTGACACCAAGCCTGATGATCTGAGTTCAGTCCCTGGGACTACATAATGGAAGGAGAGAACCAACTCCTACAAGTTGTGATCTGACCTACACACACATACGATGAACTGTTAAAAAAAAAAATTACAGGAGCTAGAGAGATGGCTCCGCTATTAAAAGCACTTCTTGCTCTTGCAGAGAACCCAAGTTCAGTTCCTAGCACCCACATTATGTAGCTAACTGCCTGCAGTTTCAGTTCTAGTTCAGACACCCTCTTGTGGTGTCCTTAGGCACCAGGCACTTTACAGGGGCAAAACACTCATACACATAAAATGTAGACCAGGCTGGCCTCAAACTCAAAATTTTTTAAGTTCTTTGGGATTCTTGAATTTTTGAAGCTAGGCCATAACATTTGTAGGGGTAGAGTGCCAGGCCTAATGGCACGGGTCTATAATCCCAGCACACAGAAAGCTGAGGCAAAAGGATTGTAAGGAGTTCAAGGCCAGCCTTAGGCTATACAGAGAGTGCCAGGCCAGACAATGTTACAAAGTAAGACCCCCATCTTAAATTTAAAAAATTAAAAAGAAAAAATGGGTGTGGCGGTGCATGCCTGTAGTCCCAGCACTAGAGAAGCTGAGGCAGATGGATCTCTATGCTGTGAGCTCAAGGCTAGCCTGGCCTACATATCTAGTTCCAGGTTAGCCAGGGCTGGATCTCAAGACCCTGTCTCAAATAAACAAAAAACAAAACAAAAAATGGTCAGTATGATGGCTCAATGGATAAAGGCACCTGTCTCCAAGCCTGATGACCTGCGTTCTCTCTCTGGGGCCATAGTGGAAAGAAAGAACCAATTCCTGCTTCATACATACATACATACATACATACATACATAAATAAATAAATAAATTTTTTAAATAAATAAATAATTAGAGCCAAGCATTGTGATATATGCCTGTAATCCCAACATTTGGGAGGCTGTATGATCAGGGATTCAAGGTCTTCAGTCACCTACTGAGTTCAAGGCTAGCCTGGGATTACATAAGACCCTGTATCAAACTTTTTTTTTTCTTAAATCTACATTTTTTTTTTAATTTTATATGTATGAGTGTTTTGCCTGCATGTATATAAGTGTACCCCAGGTCATGAAATGTCTCTGGAGGCCAGAAGAGGGCATCAGATCCCCTGGAACTGGAGTTAAGGATGGTTGTTAGCTGCCATGTGGGTGCTGGGAGTCAAACTTGGGTCCTCTGCAAGAGCAGCCAGTGCCCTTAACCACTGAGCACTCCCAAATAGTTTTTTTTTTTTTTTTAAGACGAGAAGATCAGATTCACAACTTAAGGCCAGCTGTGCTACATCGTTCCAAGTCAGCCTGAACTACATATCCCTATCCCTTTCAAAAATTCAATGGATGGTGTGGTGGCACACACATTTAACCCCAGGAGGCAGAGACAGGCAGATCTCTGTGAGATTGAGGCCAGCCTGGTCTACATAGCAAGTTCTAGGTCAGCCAGGGCTACATTGTGAGAACCCTGTTGCAAATAATAAATAAAATAAAGTAAAATAAAATAAATAAATAATAAATAAATAAATGCTATCTAGGGGCTAGAATGTAGTGCAGTGGTAAAGCTCTTGTCTACCATAACGAAGGCCCTAAGTTCAATCACCAGCAGAGAGAGAAGGGTGGTGGAGAAGATCTGGAAAAACATAGATCGCATTATTTAACAATCAGCTGAGTCGATGTGAGCAGTGAGGAAATGAGACATGAAGCTGACTGCTAGGTTTCAGACCTACACACGGGGGGACACTCTGAGCCCCAGCAGATTCCTCTATCTAGCAATTCTCATCACACTGCATTTTAATTGTGTGAGAGGGCAGAGACCCAAATTTATCATAACTGCATGGCTACATGTGTTAGCAAGTATTCAATAAATATTCAACAAATATTACATTTAATTATAATAACTAAATAGTGGTATTGAAAGAGAAACAGATTTGTGAGGAAAATTGACATGTTCAGTATGGTACATACTGAAATTCTAATACCTATGAAATAATCGTGGCGTTTTTGGTGAACAGTGAATAAGACCAGAGATCCAGAGGAAGATCTAGACTGGAGATATAGTACTCAGCAGGATATACAGGACATTTGAGAAAGCAAGATCACCCAGGGAGGGTATATAGAGTAAAAAGGACACAGAAGCTCAGACAGGTTTCTGTGGTTTAAGGACCAGGCAGAAGACAGGCTTCTCTTATACCACAGAGAATCATCTGTCAGTAACGTAACTGGAAGGGACACCAGGAGAGAAAAGATCAATTGAGCTGCCTGCAGGTGAGATATCAACATAAGGATTGCAGGGTCCATGCGAGTAGTGATGTGACCTTGGAAAAGTAGAAGAACAAAGGGAGAAGAAATGGGGACCCCTTTGTATAGGCAACTTCTTCAAGAAATTAGAGGGAAGATGGGGCTGGAGAGATGGCTCAGCGGTTAAGAGCACTGACTGTTCTTGCAGAAGACCCAGGTTCAAATCCCAGCACTCACATGGCAGCTAACAACTGTCTGTAACTCCAGTTCCAGGGAATACCCTCTTCCAAGGGCACTGCACAGACACGGGTGCACTTACACACACGTAGGCATAAGACTCACACATTAAAAAATAAAAATAAACAATTTGGGGGGGCGGTCTTTTTGAGACAGGGTCTCCCTGTAGCCCCAGCTGGCCTGGAACTCACTATGTAGACCAGGGTGGCCTTGAACTTACAGAGATCTGCCTGCCTCTGCCTCCTGAGTGCTGGGATCAAAGGCATGTGCCACCATGCCCAGCTGCAAAATAAACAATTTTTTAAAATTTATTTATTTATTATTTTATGTGTATGAGTGTTATGCTTGCATGTAGGTAAGTGCACCCATGTTGTGCAGTGCCCAAGGAGGACAGAAGAGGCTGTCGGATCCCCTGGAACTGGAGTTATGGACAGTTGTTAGCTGCCATGTGAGTGCTGGGATTCAAACCTGGGTCTTCTGCAAGAACAGTCAGTGTTCTTAACCCCTGAGCCATCTCTCCAGCCTCCATAAACAATTTTTTAATTAAAAAAAATTAGAGGGAGAGAAGAAAGGAAGGAGGGAGAGAGGATTGTTTGGTTTTGCTTTTGGAGCCAAGATATCACTATGTAGCTCAGACTAGCCTTGAACTCTCTCTCCATCTTCCTCCTTCAGCATTCCAGATCCTGGGATTTACAGATATGAATCTTCACAACTGGATAGGTAACTGGTGACTTGAGGGTCCAGAAAGGGTAAAGAGAGAAGTTTATAAAGAGAAAAGTTTAAAATTGGATAAAAGTCAATGGGGAAGGCCAGCATGGTGGTACATGCCTTTATGCCTTTAATCCCAGTGCTCAGAAGGCAGAGACAGGTGGATCTCTGTGAGACTGAGGCCAGGCTGGTCTACATAGCAAGTTTCAGGCCAGCTGGAGCTACAGGGAAATACTGTTTCAAAATAAACAAAGTCATAGGAGGCTTAAGGTACATGCCTGTAATCTCAGTATTCAGGAGGCTGAGGCTGGATAGTTGGGTTACATAGTGAGTTCCAGGCCAGCCTGCCTACTGAATAACACTGACCCTCTCCTGGGGGCAATGGGGAGGAAGGGATGCTGAAGAGATGACTCAACTGTTAAGAGCACTAACCTGTTGCTCTTGCTGCAGAGGACCCAGGTTCAGTTCCTAGCACCCGCTTGGTGGCTAACAACTGTCAATAACTCCAGTTCCAAGGGACCTGACAACCTGATGCTCTCTTCTGATCTACCTGGGCACCAGGCACACACATGGCACTCATATTTACATGCAGGCAACATACTCCTACACATAAAATAAGTGAATCTATAAAAAAATTTTAAAGGCTGGGTGTGGTGGCACATGCCCTTAATCCCAGCAGAGGCAGGCAGATCTCTGTGCGTTCAAAGCCAGCCTAGTTTACATGGTGAGTTCCAGGCCAGCTGCGGGTACAGGGAGACCGTCTCAAAAAGACAGACAAAAAAAAGTTTTTTTTAAAGATAAGAATTTTAAAGGCACTGAATGAATGACCAGATGAAATTAGCTTTTCTAGAAGAGGGAAGAAAGAGCTAAGGAATGCATTCTCCATCCAGTGAAAATGAAGCAAACTGAAGAGTCTGATCCTGGAGTTCAGACTCCAGCTTATGTCAGGGGAGCACAGCTGGCTGTCTCATGTCACTAGAGGAGAAAGGCACTCATCCTCTACTCCATCTCTCCAGCCCAGACTGAAAACCTCACACTCTGCTATGTGAAGAATCAGAAAGTGTGGGGTTTAATTGTTGGCACTCCAAAGCAAGTCAGTTTCCACTGTCCACCAGGGAGAAGTTGACTTCAGTCCCCAAACACCTGTCATGGCATTTATACCGTTTGTGCATAGTCCTGTTATTTAGTTGTAATTAATAAGGTCTGTCTCTCCTTAAACTACTCCTGTGCCCACTCCTCTCTCTCATCCTGTAGCATCCTGACAGCTTTGCACACAGGAGAAGGTGCCCAATCAGTTCTTGCTAAGAATGAACTGGACGAACCCCCACAGTAGTAAAGCTGGATGCCCCTCTAAGAGGCTGGTGCAGAGAGATGATGTGAAGGCTCTCAGGTCCCACAAATGTATCTTCGATAGGGAGGTGATATGAAGCCCCATTTCTCTCAGCCACTTTCTCTTTCCCTCTCATTTGTTCTTACAGTTTGTCCGGTTCTGTCTACACAGGAAGCACAGAGCTTTAAGTCTGAGGTGATTGGTAACGGAAACATTGATGCCTGAAACATTAATACAGGGTCACAACCTTTTAAAGTCATTACCTCTTGTGTCTTTGTCTATATTCCTGTCTTGGTTCTGATTCACCCTCTTCCTCATCTTCCTATGTCCAGCTCAAGACTTCCACCAGCATCCAGGGCCACCAACTCTGCTTGCCCCTGGATCTTCAGATGAGTTCCATAAGGTATTTAGAGGAAAATTACCAAGCTAGGCCATCTTCTCTGATTTCCTGCCTTGCTGGCCACATAGCCCTGCTGACCACATCCTCTCACCTTATTTATATACTTCCTCATTAGACACATCACCCAGGAGTTCTCAGCCCTCCTAACCTGTGCTAACCTCTCCCACCAAGGGCTCTGTTTACTCTTTCTTCTCACTCTGGGGGTTCTGTCTTCACTAAACACACTCATACAACACACACACACACACACACACACACACACACACACACACAATCTCTTAGAACCATGACCTTCTGCCTGGAGGCACTCAGTCTTATTTCCTTCTGGATCTCCAGTACCCCTTTCTCCCACAGGTGACAGTGCTAACCACAATGCTGTCAGGCCGGTGGTGGCCAAGTACCTGGGGAAATCTAAGACTGGGACCCCAAAGTCCATCTAGGGGATCCCAGATCTGTGCCCTCTATGCCTTCACTTATACTGGGGCAGATGGCCGGCAGGTGTCTCTGGCTGAAGGTGATAGGTTCCTATTGCTTCAAAAGACCAACTCGGACTGGTGGTTGGTAAGGCACCTGGGAGCTCCCACCAGCTCTCGGCCCATATTTGTTCCAGCTGCATACATGATAGAGGAATCCTTCTCAGGCCACAGCCCAGCTGTCATTACCCACAGCCAATCCCTCAGGACTCCTGGTGAGTAAATTCTAAGCCCCACCCTCTGTCCCCCTTCACCTTCTTGTCTTTCTGGCTTGAGGGAGTTACTAAGAGTCTCCTTCTCCCTAGTTTCTGCTGACCTCTTTCTCTTGTTTTCCTCTGATCAGTCTGCTCTTATCCTCACCACAGTGATACCCCCATCCCATTGCCCTCCTCTGTCCTCTCTAGTTCCAAGCTTTCTAAGTTTCATGTCATTTTTCCATAGCCATCCTCTATATTTCTTGCAGTCCCATTGATGATCTGTCTGGTTTTATCTGCCGCCTCCCCCATTTCTCTCTTTCCAGAGTCAAAGTTGCTTCATGGCTCCCTGGAGGAACTACACCTATCTAAGACCCCCCAGGTTACTTCTGAACAGCCTCCTTCCCTTTTCTGTAAAATGTACAGAAGCTTCAGTGCGGCCAGTTTGAGACCTAGCCTCCTGAAACCCCTCAAAGAAGGGCCAGGAGAAAGATCCCTCTCCCAGAAAGACTTGGTGCCAGTGGCCAGAGCCAACATGGTGAGTAACAGCTCTTTATCCAAGCATGGTCAGTCAACTGACACTACAGCTGGAGCCTGTTCTGGGCACAGTGACAAACAGGATAGACAGCATCCCTGTCCTTAAGGGTGGGAAAGGATGACAAATACAAATAAGATGAACCTGGTGCTGATAAGCCCCAGGAAGAGGAGAGATTGATGTGGTTTGAGGAAGCACTGCACACAGAGGAAAAATGGCTTTAAGGCAAACTAAGGGATGATAGGATAGCAGGTAGCCCTGAGGGGATAGGGAGCCTCAGGAAAGAGAAAGACAGAAAGAAAGCCAACAGCTGCTTGTTCTTTCTTCCTAGGTCTTGCCTTTATATAGTGTCTTTATAAGCTAGAACACCAGCAAGTCCCCCTTGGGGGGACTGGTTAGAACTGGAAGTTCTAACTCCCTTGCTCAGCTCCTTCCCCCTTTCTATTTTGTCAGGTGGTTTTGTTGTTTGTTCTTTTGAGACAGTCTCACTATGTAGCCCTGTATGGCCTAGAACTCACTATCACTTTGTAGACCAGGTTGGCCTCAAACTCAGGGATCTTGCCTGCCTCTGCCTCCCAAGTGCAGGGAATAAAGGCATGTGCTACCACACCTGGCAAAGATTTTTATTTTATGTGTATGAGTGTTTTGCCTGCAAATACGTAAGTGAACCTTGCCAGTGTAGTGCCCATGGAGGTCAGAAGAGGGCGTTAGAGCCCCTGGAACTCGACTTATGGGTTAGCTGCCATATGGATACTGGAACTGAACCCAGGTCCTCTGTAAGAGCAGCCAGAGCTCTTAACCACTGAGCTATCTCTCCAGCCCTTGTTTTTTGAAACAGGGTCTCGCCTGGAATTCTGAGAGATCTGTTTGCCTCTGCCTCCCCAGTGCTGGGACTAAAGGTGTGTCCCACCACTCCAACCTCAATTGTCCTCCTGCCTCAGCCTCCTAAGTGCTGGGATCACAAACAAACCTCCCTCTCTCTTGATGGCAAGTGGGTGGGAAAGTGGCTCCTTTCCCTCACACTCCCCTAGCTGGGGGGGGGGGGTGTCCCTCACTATCAGGTGTTGACTTTTACTCTTTAGGATGTGAGGAAGGGGCACTCTTCTCCCCACCCCCCAAAAAAGTCTGTTCCCCTTTCCTGCTGCCCTGGGGCGGGGTTGCGTGGGGGAGGAGGGAAGTTGGCAACAGGAAGTGAGGAGAAAAGCAAAGACGGACTGTGAAGGAGAGACCTTAAAAAGCTGCTGGGGACTGGGGTTTCTACCCCTGTATGTGGGTCACCCTGGCCCAGAGCTGGTGGTGAGTAGGGGGGCAGAAGATGATTGGGAGGGCTCAGGTAGAATAACCACCTCCTTCTTCCTCCTTTTCCTGACAGGCAGGACCACAGTCCTTCATGTCAGAGCCCCCTGTATACTGTAATCTAATGGGCCTTTTCTGCAGTCCCAGGTCCCAACCCACCCCTCAGACTCTGCATCCCCTCCCCTCCCCCACTGCAAAGGCTGTGTGCCTGGGAGCTGCTCCAGACTGAAGGGAAGGCAATTCTAGAGAGACCCTGGTGCCTCTCCCTTTAGCTGTCAGACCACTGACACAATGGGCCTCAAGGAATTGGAATTTCCCCTGGAGTCTCAAGCTGGGGAATGGAGAGACTTGGGGTCCTGGTGCTAGCCAGAGGAGGAATCTGTCTCCCAGGAAGAGATTTCACACAGTTCGGAGCTGAGCCATAGTTGGGCAGGATCATACCTTGACCAAGACTGTAGACCTCTTGCCCTCTATTTAAGCCTAAACCTCATGTCAAGGCACCACAGATAGACTTGGGAGTTGCTGGATTTGGTCATTTATTTGGTCATTTTCCCAGTGTGGCCACACTGAATAAATCTTTCTCTGCTTTTGAGTATTGTCTCTTTAATTGACTTACTGAGGACAGTGGTAGAGCTTGGGTTGCTAGCACTTCCAAAGGTAAAGGCTTTGACCCTAACACTCTAGTAACAACTGGATCCCACTTCTGGGTGCTGTCCCTGTGCACAGTTACACCCAACACCTTCCCTCCTGCTTGTCTCAATGTCCCCTCTATCTCCCTTCTCCTGAACCCTAATGTAGTATGTTCTCTCTTTGGGGCTCTGAGATCAGAAGAATCAGCAAATTGTGAGATGTGTTGAGGACTGGTGAAGTGACATCTGGATGTTGCTTTGTCTCCACCTAAACCCAGAACCCTGGCTCCATGGAGCAGACAGAGACCCTGAATAGGGACAATGGTATCCTGCAACCTCAGGAATGGCCTGATCCACAGGTGAGAAACGCTCCTACTTCTCAGTCACTTGTAGAAAAAGTTAACTTTTTCTTTACTTATTTTAAATTATTTACTAATCTATTTTGTGTGTGCATTGGGGGGTGGGGTATACTTATGCCATAGTATGTCAGGGGAAGTCAGAAGGACCTTTTGGGAGTCAGTTCTCTCCTTCCACCATGTGGGTCCTGAAAATCAAATCAGACTCAGGTTTGGCAGCAGGCACTTTTACCTGCTGAACCATTTCACTAGCCTCCCGGTTAACTTTTTATGACATTCTCTTTTATGTGAGAAATTCTTCATTACCCATATCTACATCCCTCTTCCTTCTGCGGCCTGGGACCTCTAAACTGAAGGTTCCACCATCTGTTTCTTCAATTCCCAACCCTCAGGATTTACCAAGCCTCTGCCAAAGCAGCTCCTGCCTTGACCTCTCAGAACAGTCTGTAACCTTGCAGCCCCCACCAGCTCAGCCACAGCTCCGGGAGGACCCCCATGTGAGTCTCCCATGTTCTTTGAATGCCAACTTCCTCTCTGCACCATCCACAACTCCTGCTCCCCCAAAAAACATTTTCTTCTTTTGGGGTGTCCTCTCTTCTTGTCTCCCCACACCCCAAACTTTATAGGGCCTCATTCCTGGGAGACGCCTTAAGGAGAGCCATTGGTGACTGTGGGTGGCACAGGGTGGCTTACAGACATTACTCTGTATCCTTCCCAGGAGGAAAAGTCAGGCCTACTCAACATGACCAAGATTGCCCAAGGAGGGCGCAAACTCAGGTGAGGAAGAATGTGCTAGTGCCGTGGGCTGTTGGATTTGTAGGGTACAGCCCCGGTGCCTAGGAGCACACTCCTGGTGTGATTCTAGAATGACCTTTTAAACAACCACCACTGCCCCCACTCCGCCCCATCTTCTCCTCCCCCACAGGAAGAACTGGGGCCCAGCTTGGGTGGTGTTAACTGGTAACAGCCTGGTGTTCTACCGTGAGCGGCCGCTGTCGAGTGCGCCCTCCCAAGGCTGGGTGAGTACCAGCCTGGGGCGCAGGAGGGGTTTGGGGTTACTTGATCTGCCGACTGAGGTGGGGGAAGCGGGTGAGGAGACCAATGGAGGAGATAAAGGAATGAGGAAGCATCTCACCTCCTGCTAGAGGGAAACAGGAAACAAACCCCGTAGCCTCAGTTTCTCCCCCAATTGCCAGGCTCCAGCTGGTAGCAGACCCGAAAGTAGCGTGGATCTGCGCGGGGCGGCCCTGGCTAACGGCCGCCACCTGTCGAGCCGGCGAAACGTCCTGCACGTGAGTGACATCCCGTGCGTCCCCCACAAACTGGCGCAGGGTGGGCGGGGTGACCCGGGCGCACACCCAGCCTTCCGCTTGGTTCTCCTGCGGGGCTTGGCTGCTTTTTAGGCTCTCTGGGCTGACAAGCTTACACTTCCCACCCGACCCCCGCTCCCCAGATCCGGACGGTCCCTGGCCATGAGTTCTTGTTGCAATGGGACACGGAGACGGAGCTGCGAGCCTGGCACCGCGCGCTGCGGGAGGTCCTCGAACGGCTGGTTAGGACGGGGCAGACCCAGGGAGGGTGGGGTCGGCGGGGCCGAGGGAATGGGGAGCGACACTTAAAGGAACTCGGGATAAGGCTATCTGGGGTGGAGCCCTGACCTTGACTTGGGATGGAATGTGGGGGTGGGGGTCTCTGCCATAGGTTAGTCTCCTTGCTTCGAGCTTAGGGTGCAGATTTCTCTCTCTTCCAACCTCCCTCCGCGCCCGCCCGGGTCTAGGACCGGGAGAACCCCCTGGAGCTGCGCCTGTCGGGCTCGGGACCCGCAGAGCTGGCAGAGCTGAGCGCTGGAGAGGATGAAGAATTGGAGTCCGAGCCGGTGACCAAGTCCCTGATGCGGCTTAGCAGCCGAAGAACTTCCAGTATGGAGCGGACCCCTGCCTGGGTGCACAGAAAGGGTCCTCCTCCAGCGACTGCTCAGATTTAACTCTACCTGACTTTCAGGTCGATGTGCCGATGGCACAGAGCAGAAGAACCGTGTTCGGAACAAACTAAAGCGGCTTATCGCCAAAAGACCAACCTTGCAAAGCCTCCAAGAGCGGGGCCTGTTCCGAGGTAAGGTGGGGCACTGCTGTTTGGGCGGCTTTAGTAGTGTTTTTTTGTTTTGTTTGGTTTTGGTTTTCAGATTTTGTTGTTGAGACAAAGTCTCAAGTATGTAACCCAGGCTCTCCTCAAACTTGGGCAATGATCCTCCTGCCTCACCCTCCCAAGTCTTGGGATTCCAGGAGTCAGCCACCAAATCTGGCCTGGTTAGTGTTTTTAACGTTCCTAATCTGAGCATTAACCAGTTCCACAGATGTGAAAACTTTAGAGAGGCTTAAAGTAGAGATTCCCAGAGCTAGATTACAGTCTTCTGACATTCCAGCTTTTCTTCCTTATTCATTATTTGAAGGACAGAGGGATGCCTTTTTGTCCCCCACGAGGGCCAGCCCCACTTGAGCATTGCCTTTACTGATAATACTCTTCCCACCTGACTCACTACCTCCTCAGATCAGGTGTTTGGCTGCCAGTTGGAATCACTGTGCCAGCGGGAAGGGGATACAGTGCCCAGCTTTGTCCGGCTTTGCGTTGAGGCAGTGGATAAAAAAGGTTATTTTCCCACAGACTTCAAAATCTTCCCTTTCAAGGCCTAGAATCCCTCCCTCATCTCTGTCCTCCTATTGACTCCTGTCTTCCCCAGATCCCTCACATACTCTATTTAGAGTAGAGTCCTCATCTGCTTCTGCCTCATCTCCTAGGTCTAGATGTAGATGGCATTTACCGCGTGAGTGGAAACCTGGCAGTGGTCCAGAAACTCCGCTTTCTCGTGGACAGAGGTGAGGGCTTGGGAGAAGTGGTGGATCTGAGAACCTCATACCTCAGAACTAGTATGGTTCTGGGGTAGGGAGCTGGAAGAGCATTTCTGCCTAGAACTTCATGTCTTAAGTTTGTGATGACTTCTCATACTTGTTGCAGAGAGGGCAGTAACCTCTGATGGGAGATACATGTTCCCAGAACAGCCTGGACAAGGTACTTATATGGGAAGCCCCTCAGACTCCTAAAACTTCCTTATATATCTTCCTTGTACTCCACGGATTCCCCCACGTTCTGTCCCTGGGAAGCCTGTCCCCATCCCAATTTTGCTATTATGCCCTACTGTGAACTTTTACCAAATTTCTGTTTTGACAGGTTTTCCCCCTAGAACTTCTGGCCTCTGAGTCTAGCTTTCTCTAGCTTTTTATGAGCCCTGAACCTCTTTTTTCCTTCTAGAAGGCAGATTAGATTTGGACAGTGCTGAATGGGATGACATTCACGTGGTCACTGGAGCCTTGAAACTTTTTCTCCGGGAGCTGCCCCAGCCTCTGGTGCCTCCACTGCTGCTGCCCCATTTTCGAGATGCCCTTGGTAAGGGTTAGGAGCTTTGGACAACATCCCTGACAGGGAGGACATGAGAAGTAAAGAATAGAATAGACAGTCCCTTCCATCTTTACTGCAAAGATGGAAAATAATTCATGTGCCAAGTCCAGTTGTTTTAGAGGTGAGTGTGTGTGCATATGTGTGTGTGCGTGTGTGTGTGAAGGGCTGGGTTGACAAGAATTCTGAGGCTGCAGCTGGACTATATGAAAAAGTTGAGGGTTGAGGTGTAGCTCAGTGTTATATTGTGTTTAGTATGTGTAAGGACTTGCGTTCACTGTCTGGTACTAAAAAAGAATAAATAAATACATAAATAAATAAAAACTGTGCTAGACAAAATGGTATCTTCCATGGGCACAGGAAAGAATAGTGAATTTGCCCACCCTGTTCTAACATTTCCCTAATTTCACTCCCATGTCCCTCTTACCACTCTCTTTCTAGCATTTTCTGAGTCAGAGCAGTGCCTCTCTCAAATACAAAAATTAATAGACTCGTTGCCGAAGCCCAACCGTGACACTCTTCAGTACCTCCTGGAACATTTATGCAGGTCAGGAAGACTGAACATTTTTGCTCATGCCGGGGAGGATGGAGTGGGGCATTCAGTAAAGACTCTAATCTGAAAGTAGGATAGAGATAGGGGAGTATTGACATATGTCCAAGCTTTTGACTAGCTCTGCATCAAATGGGAAAATGAGAACCAGACAAGCCAAGGGATGCTATGAGAGAAATAAGGGAATTCTTATCTCTTCCTTCCCTCTGCTTTAGTTTCCTGTTGGGACAGTGATGATGGCTTGTTTGGCCTAGCTGGGTTTGGGCAGTGACCTTTGAAAGGGGAGGGCCATTTGAATGCAAGCCTTCCACATTGTCAATTGAAAGGACTCTAGGGGCCACCCTGAAGCTGAGAACCAGGCAGTTAGCTGACTTGTACGGCCAGATTGTGTCCTGAAGGTTTCTCCACATGTTCTCTGTTCCTTTTTAAGCTTTGTCCTTGATTTTTTTAGCCAGCATGTGGAGGGATCCCAGAGCAATTTCTGTCCCATTCAAACCTAAGAGGGTTAGTTTTATTGGTTTGAAGTGGGTAGCTATTGCCTATCTCCCCTTTGCTTGGCTTTGCTCCCAGGGTGATAGCACACTCAGATAAGAATCGCATGACTGCCCACAACCTGGGAATTGTGTTTGGACCAACCTTGTTTCGACCGGAGCAGGAGACATCTGACATGACAGCCCATGCATTCTACCCTGGACAGCTGATCCAGCTGATGCTCACCAACTTCACCAGCCTCTTCACCTGACTCAGGCAAGAGGACACCATTTCCAAAGATCTGTCAGCTAGTCTTTGAAGGGGGTGGCAGGTGTTCTGTTTTGGAGACACCCCTGTAAACTGCTTCCCAAAGGACACTCTTCAACTTCTTGAGGTTGACCTAAGGTATTAGAAGACATTCTCAGAAAAGTGTATGGATCCCCTACCTTTTCTCTGACCAAGATAACACATAAAAGCACTTCTCTCTGCATTCCTTTATTGTCAGGAAACTGTGTCATTATTAAAATTTCTCCCTGGAACATATACAGACTAAATACATTCCCCAGCCCATATCTCCCATCCTTGGGCACCTCATGCAGCTATTTAGGAAACATGATCTGATTGGACCTTGGTGTCCTCTTAGGCACTAGAGTTGAGGAATTGTGTCTCTCCAGGTAAAGATCCCAGTAAGACACTCATGTTACCCACAGCCATGTTGGGGGGCCCAGAGGAAGGTGGGGTATGTTCAGAGCTGTCCCCTTGCTCATGGGAAGGACTCAGCCCCTGGGCCTCATCCAGAATAGCCACAAAGTCCAGCTGAGTGTTGTCTAGATCAAGAGAGTCCAGAGGGTTACACACCTGCCCTTCAGGAGGAGGGTACAAGGCAGGACCTGCTCCTAGCCTGCCTACTTCAGGGTGGCCACAGCTGGGATTGGCACCCCCCACCTTGAGGGGCCCATAGCAAGGGGGTAATGGAGGCAGAAGCCGAGGTGGCGCTTCTGCCCTATGGGAAGGCCTGTTTATCCCCAATGCAAAAGTTTCATGACATGGTGAAGGGGTGGGATAGGAGCCTGATTTATGATTGGGCAAGGTAGGTGCAAAGCCAGGTCCATACGTAGCCATTGGGGCTTTGGTAGGACTTGGATTAACCTGGGAACCCCCAAGAAACTTGGGGCCTTCATAAGGAGGTTCTTGGATGGGGGGCCCTTCCTGGCCTCTGCCCTCCCACAGCAATTCCTGTTGAGACTGAACATAATTACACATAAGCTGAGCTTTGAGCTGTCCTGTGGAATGAGAGGGGGACTCAAAATCCAGGCCAGGCCTGGGCTCTGAAGAAAGGTAACTAGAAGGAGGCTGGGGATAGGGACTTGACTGGGGATACTGGGGAGGAGGAGGTTGGGGATAGTGAGAGAATGGAGGTTGCAAGCATGGAGGCCCCTCACTGGGGTGAGCATTGAGGCAGGGTGCCAGTCTAGTGGAGTGAGACTCTACTGGGCACCCTTGTTCTGGCTTCACCTGCACTTGTCCATAATGTTCAAGTTGAGGACACTGGCTATAGGCTCCACCTGGAACCTTAGTGCCTGGGTACATCCCAGAGTGGGAAGGGAACTCACCCCATGTTTCTGGGGTGGGGTCAGGATAGGAGACCTGCTGAGGACAGGGGCCAGAGCCAAAATTTATAGGTGGACCAGGCCCAAGAGGCAGGGAACCTGGACCACTAGCTCCATAAGGCCCAGCTGCTGTCCCCTCAGGTCCCCCATATCCCAGAGTATCAGCAGATGAAAAGTCCATGTATGGGTTCAAACCACTGCCCATCATGGAAGTTCCAACCTCTGGCTCCTCCCGAAGCTCTCTATTATCCATGGCAATGTTCTCAGTGATGCTGGGAGGCTGTGGTGAATAGACAGAGGTTGGGAGGTGGGGATCAAAGTTCTGTCCTCCTGTTGCCACACTAGGGGTTGTGTGGACACAGCCCAAGCTCTTGAACCGCTGGACTCTGGCTGGAGCAGGGCGGTCAGCAGCCCGGGCTGGGTCACTGGCCCTCCGGGTGACCCCTACATTGGGGTTGTATCCTGGATATTCAGCTCGGTTTCTCCAAGGTGGTGCAGGAAGACCCCCCATTCGGTCCAGGCTGGGTGCTGTAGTGGGTGGAGTACCACTCCCCCTGGCTGAAACGGATCTTGCCCGGAGCATGTAATGCTGGGCAGGCATGAGGCCAGGCAGGGAGGGTGCTCCATTCTCTGGTGGGGATCCAGGAGGGAAAGGGGAGGCCAGGGAGGAGCGGCGGCTGACAGTATAAGCAGAACTAATGCTGCTGGAGCTGCTGCTGCGACGGTCAAGGGAGACTGGGGGGCCCAGACGGCGTGACACAGGTGTGACTGCAAGTGACAGGGGAGAAGAAGCAGGTGGTTAAAGAGCCCCCTTCATTCTTACCCTCCTTTTCCCACAGGATAGCCTTGATCTGGAGTCCCAAGATAGAGTCCTAGGCTTAATCCTAACTACTTGGTCTGTCTCCCACTTCTCCAATGCCTGTATTTGCTTCTGGGTCACCAGGATTCCAGGCAATCACATGGATTGTACACTGATGCACAATCATGAGCATGCTCTGCTCATAGATGTAATGAACTCTCCGTCCTCCTGCCCCAGCCTCGTGTTGGTATTACAGTTGTCTTCCATCACACCTAGCTGTATGTTATAATTTTCTGATAGATAGAAGGAAAAATTTGAGGAAGGGAAGCATTTTTCTAATTACACAGAGATACCATGTAGCAGCTCTAAGGGAGACCTCCTCCCAACCTCAAGGTAGGTCCACAGCTCAGCACAGCCACACCTCCCACACCCAGGTCTCACCAGTATGGGTCAAGCTGGGCAGTTTGAGACCCCGGGGACCTGTTGGCCGGAGTTGATGCAGCTGGTCCAGCCTGAGGTTCTCAAGGCGGCGAAGAGTAGAGAGTCCAGTGCTAGCAACACAAGGCCCTTCGTCCAAGCTGGACAGGTCCTCGGTGCTGCCCCCCGCATTGCCAGTCATTTCCACTCCGCTGTCAGTATTGGCTGCACTGCCTGCCGGAGAGTGGTCACTGCTACAGGAAGACTGTGCTCCAGGGCTTGGCTGTGGCTTCTGTGGGGAAGATGAGAGTTCAGGGTGGCACCTTCTCCCATGTCTCCTTGGTGAATGGCTGAAGCCTGTGTCCGAGTGACTGCAAGGGCTGAGGACAGGCATACAAATTTAGAAAGGGCTGAGCAGGTGAGAAGTTAGGGCAAACTGGAAGAAAGTATTTGAGAAGGGCTCATGCTGGAGTGCAGACTTCTAGGGCTCCATTCTTACGCTTAGTCTTATGAACTTGGGCAATTTCTCTCTGCCTGCTTCCTCATCTGAAAATGAAGAGTAAGTTCCTTTCTTATGCTTTTGTGAAGAGTACAGGAAATACGCATGTCAAAGACTTGAAACTTACTAAGTGCTATTTAAGACTGAGTCTTAGCCAGGCGTGGTGGCGCACGCCTGTAGTCCCAGCACTCGGGAGGCAGAGGCAGGCGGATCTCTGTGAGTTCAAAGCCAGCCTGGTCTACCTAGTGAGTTCCAGGACAGTTCAGGCTACAGCGAGACCCTGTCTCAAAAAGACCAAAAATAAATAAATAAATAAATAAATAAATAAATAAAATAATAAAGAAAAAAAAAAAAGATTGAGTCAGCCCGGTGTGGTGGCACACGCCTTTAATTAGAGGCAGAGGCAGGCAGATCACCTCTGTGAGTTCAAGGCCAGTCTGGTCTCCATAGCCAGCTGGGGCTACAGGGAGACCCTGTCTCAAAAAAAAAAAAAATCGAGTCTATAGGGGACTGAGGATTTGCTTAGTGGTAGAGCATGAGCAAGGTTCATATTCCCAGAGGTACAACTCTCCTCACCAACCCCCTTCCCCCAAATTGTGAATTTGCTGGACCAATTAAACAACTGACAGTTGTAACATCCTTGGATTTAGGGTCAGCCCTGGAGCAACACTGAAACTAGAGAAAGGTGGAAGAATGATGTAGGAGGGGATGCTTCTAGGAAGGGGCTAAAAATAGGTCAGCAGGGTATGTTGGCAAGGCTGCCTGGGCTGGCTCACCATGGCACCCTCGGGCACAGCCAGTCTGCTCTCTTCCCTGATGGGCCCTCCTTCTCTTTCTCGCTTGGGCTCCACTGTGGAAAGGGATGGTGCCCGTGGCAAGGGGCCATCCCCTCGATGCCGCTTGGTCACATGAGCATCAGGACCATGTACCGTCTTGACATGTTTTCGGAGTGAGCTGGGGTCTGTATAGCGCTTGGTACAGCCAGGGAGCTTGCACACATAGGGCTTCTGTTGAGTGGAAAGCCAAGGTAGAAGGCCAAGGGATCAACGGAAGAAGATTGGGGTAGGGGCGGGATATGTGATGACAAGGCAGGTAAGAGGGAGGAACACACAGCATCCAGGGAAGCAAGGAGAGTGTATATCCTTGGGTAGAGTAAATCATGAGGCTTAATGGAGGATTAGGAAAACGGATGGCTTGGACCTAGGAAAGATGAGGTCATCCCAGGGCTGTGAGACCACATAAATTCAAAGGTTGAAGGGGCTGGGCGGAGGGGGGGCGGGGGGGGTCTCTTCTAGGTCACATCTGTTTTAGATTGACCTCTTGGCTGAATAAAGGAAAAAATGGTTTAAGTGGAAATTCTTGATTTCAGAAAAGCCTTCTCTGGATGAATTACATAGCAGGGGAACTCACCTCTGTGGAGTGGGTATTGAGTTAAAGGGTTTCTTGGGGAGGGGGTTTCTGCCAGTAGGTACCTTCTGAAGTAGGGAGAGTCTCTTAGTTGGGGCATTCACCTCATTAGAGTGGGTTCGATTCTGATGCTTGGCGCGGTCGCTGGCGTTGCTGAAGGCTTTGCTGCAGCCCTCGTGCTCACACATGTAAGGTTTCTCACCCGTGTGTGACCGAAGATGCGTCTTCAGGTTTTCAAGTCGTGAGTATGATTTCCGACACCCTTCAAACTGGGGAATGTGAAGGGGGTCACGTAACAGTCCTCAGACAGAGCATGGAGCCTTAAGGAAGTCCAAATCTCAAAAGAGATATATACTAGAGAATATAACCAAAACCAAATGAACAAAAAAGGGAGAGCACTGGGTCCTAAAAGAATGCTAGAATAAAGGGACAAGGGCAGACAGGCGATAAAGGAAGAAAAACAGCTGGAAACAGCATGAACATGGAGGGGTTATTGGTAAGTAATGATTTCCCTGCTCAGAGTTTAGACTGTCCCAGAATGGGAGAAAACAGGCTTACATGAGTGTCCTTCATCCTTGATGCAGGGCTTATTTACTAGGCAAAGTAGTAGGAAGAGTACCAAGGGGCCACAGAACTTTAAAGAACTCATAAACATGTTTTAATTTCCTTTAAAAATCAAAGAGAAGTAGCTGGCATGGCAGCACACGCCTTTAATCCCTGCACTTGGGAGGCAGAAGCAGGCGAATCTCTGTGAGTTCAAGGCCAGCCTGGTCTACATAGAGAGTTCCAGGCCAGCTGGAGCTACAAGAGAGACCCTGTCTCAAAAAGACGAAAAAAAACAAAAAAAAAAAAAAAAAAAAAAAAAAAAAAGGAAGCTGGGTGTGGTGATGCATGCCTTTAAATGCCAACACTCAGAGGAAGACACAGGCAGATCTTTGTGAGATCCAGGCTAGTCTGGTCTACTTAGTGAATTTCCAGCCAGCTGGGGCTAGAAGGAAACCCTGTCTCAAAATAAAATAATGGGGGAAAATATGCCTTTTGATTGAATAATTTTCTTATTTTGTTTTTATTGTTGCTGCTGCCTACATTAGCCTCCAACTCTTAATCCTCCTTCCTCAGCCTCCCAATTGCTAGGATTACAAGTGTGTGCCATCACAACAAGAATATATTTTAGGGCCAGGGACATGGCTCAGTGATTAAAGGTTCCTGTTGTCACGTCTGACAACCTGAGTTTGTTCCCTGGGACCCAAATAGTAGGAGAGAACCAACTCCCCCAATTTGTTCTCTGACCTTCACATGCTCACAGTGGCACACAAAACCCTCCAAAAATAAATAAAAATATAATTTTAAAAAGAAGATATCCTGAGCTGAGCGTGGTGGTGCATGCCTTTAATTCTAGCACTCAGAGAGGCAGAGGCAGGTGGATCGCTGTGAAATCAAGGCCATCCTTGTCTACACAGCAAGTTCCAGGCCAGCTGGGGCTACGGGGAGACCCTGTCTCAAAAAGACAAAAAAGGAAAAGAAAACATATCTTATGATATTAGATATGTTAATCTTTCATAGTCTTAAGATTTTAACGTTTGCTTTTGAAGGAAGGGGACCTATGAAGGCAAAAGTCTGCCTTGGACCCTACCTTGATGGGGAGCCAATTTAGGGAGAAACGGGTGCCTCACCGTGCACTTGTGTGGTTTCTCGCCCGTGTGTCTGCGCATGTGCACCACCAACATGTACTGGGCTTTGAAGGGCCTCAGCTCCCTGGAGCAGCCCCCCCAATGGCACACGAACTCCTTCCGTTCCCCATGGATATGCTCACTGTTGATGTGCTGAGGAAGAAGACACAGCGGCTCTCCAAGATTCCCTATGTCCTCAAACCCAGACCACATCACATCCCCTTCAGCCCCCTATTCCTCCTCTGTGCCACCACTTGGGGGAAGAAGGGGTAGGAGGGCAGCATACCCCACATCTCAGATCTAGCAAAGTTACAGCCTCTGAGCTTTTACCTGCTGGAATAAGCATGCAACCTGACTCAGTATCTTTGAAACTCCTGTCTTCCAGACCACAATGTCCCAGTCTACTACAAGCTCCCCCCAACCATCTATGTTACCCCCTGGGGCTCACGTGGACCAGCTGCTCCTGGGAGTCAAACTCCTGGCTGCAGCCATCCCATCGGCAGTCAGTCTCATACACAGACTCAGGCTCAGGCTTTTCCTCTCTCTCCAAGTCCTCTCTCCCATCCAGCATCCCCAGCAGGGGATCCTTAGGGCAATAAAGGCAATCTTAGGGTTAATTTTGGGTGGAAGCTTTTCTTTTGCTCAGGTTCCAGAGGGAAAACCCTGCCCTTCTCCCTACCTGTGTGCCTGTGGAGTTGGGGCTAGACATGTCACCTTCCAAAGGCTCCTCTGGGCACTTGCCAACCAGCAGGTCCAGCTCTGACTTCAGCTTCTCCAGAGGAAGAGGTGAGGGTGATGAGGGTAGAAGGAGGTAGAGGAAGCCGCCAGGTCTTTCTTCCCTAGGGCCCCCACCCACCCAAATAGCAGGAATCCCTGAATGTGGAAGGTACTTCCTTCTCAGTCTGCACTGGTAAATAGGATGAGCAAAAGGCATGGTCTCATCTGGTAAAGTCTGTAAAACCCCCACATCCATACCTCTACTTTTCTAGTACTGAAAACTTGCATATCTGTTGTCTTTCAATTTTCCCCTGTTTACTTTTCCTCCCACCTATCCTGGGCTGCGAAAAATGAAACATTTTGGTAAGATGGAGCCTCACCTGGCAGGTTGGGTGTGGTCCTCGGGACTGCGGATGCAGCATCATTCCACCCCGAGTGGAGTCATGTGGAACACAGGGCTGGACCCCGAAGGAAGGTGAGGTCCCTTTTTGGTGATTCATCTGGGATGGGAATCCTAGTGATGGGCTAGGTGAAGAGGAGGCTGTTATTTAAGCCTATCAGTCACAGAAGTCCTTAGACTATTTGTAGGTTTCTGGAAGACTTGGTTGAGGAAACCCTGGGGAAGTTCTGAAAAGGGTTCCAGTACTTTGGAAGGGATAAGGATTCAAGTTTGGTTGGGGAATTGGAGGGCCTGAGTCTTCTAATAGGTTTCAGTAGAGATTTTAGGGGTGCCTTAGCCCAAGGCTGCCAGCACCTCATGGTGCCAATGGAGAGATGGCCATAGGAACCTCCTGGAGATGTGCAGCGTGAGTTGATGAAGGCCACGAGGGAGCTGGGTGAGGTTCGGATAACTGTCTGCAGGTCCAGGCTGGCATCTGAGAGAGGTGAGATGGAAAGTGCCCGCTTCTTGGCCAACTTGACTACACTCCGGGGAGGAGGAAATAATGGCCCTAGGGCAGAAGACAGAAGGTGGATATGGTAAAGGCATGTGTTTCCATGCACTCAGCATGTAGGTCCTGACTCCAAAGAATGTTTGTGCTGTGCTCTACCTAGGACCTCTTGGTAGTTTTCTGATCTCTCACATCTCTGGTCATTTCTTCCTCTGAGTTAGGTCCTTGCCCTCCCACTTTCTCCTTCAGAACAAGTCCCAGAGAAGCAGAGAGGAAAGAGATATTGCCCAAGTTCTCACCCTCAGTGCTGCTGTTGGTCTCTCTGGTAGACTCATAACCTTGGGGACCCGACATGAAATTGGCTTGATGGCAAAAGGGCAAGCCAGACAGCCCTAGAAAAGAGAGACTGCTGGAGTGGGGGATTTGAATGGGGAATACAGGCCTCACCTGGAAATCCCAGGTGAGATCAGACTCCAGACTTCAAGTATATATGACATAGGGTTTCAAAATCTGCCTATAGATGGTATGTTAGCATGGGATAGGGATGGGCTGAGAGGGCTCCTAAGGCTGGGTGAGAGAGCTGCCAAGTCCTCAAGGCCCAAGGACTGGTAAATGCACTAACCTTCTGTCCCCATGTTGGGGACCCCTTGGCTGGGGAGGGAACGGAGACAGCACGGGTCACCATAGTTACTGACTGGTGGTGGGGTCACTGAGTTGAACATGGTTTCTCAGAGGAGGATGTGGGAACACTGCAGAAAGGGAAGGTAATTTGAAAGTTATAAAGATGGAAAGAAACAGAGAAGAAAAAAAATAATCTCAGGCACAGGACCTTGGCCAGCATGTTCCATGTGCCCCTAACCCCTCCAAGACATTGGTCATGGAAATCAAGTTGAAAACAATGCCATTCAGCTGGGTTAAGAAGAAACATCCCGCGCTTGAGAGATGGCTCAGTGGGTAAAGTGCTTGTCACACCAGCCTGACAACCTGAGTTTAATCTCTGTATCCCATGTAAAGGTGGAAGGAAAAATCCAACTCCACAAAGTTGTCTTCTTCCACATGTGTGTGGTGGAATGTATGCCCCCCTCACTAATAACAAGTAATAATAATAAAATTCATTTTTTTAAATTTTATGTGTATGTGTCTATTGCGTGCATGTAGGTAAGTGCACCGGTGTCGTGCAATGCCCAAGGAAGACAGAAGAGCTTGTCGGATCCCCTGGAACTAGAGTTACGGACAGTTGTTAGCTGCCATGTGGGTGCTGGGATTCGAACCTGGATCTTCTGCAAGAACAGTCAGTGTTCTTAACCACTGAACCATCTCTCCAGCCCCAATAATAAAATTCTTAAAAGAAGAAACACTCTTGGCACTGGAGAGATGGCTTGTCAGTTAAGAGCAATGGCTGTTCTTGCAGAGAACCTAGGTTCAATTCCCAGCACCCACATGGCAGCTAACAACCATCTGTAACTCCAGTTCCAGGGGATCCAATGTCCTTTTCTGACCACTGCTGCCATTGCACACCATGGGTGCACTTACATACATGCAGGCAATACACTCATACAAATAAAAACAATAAAGTATTTTTAAAAAGAAGAAACACGGGGCTGGAGAGATGGCTCAGCAGTTAAGAACACTGGTTGTTCTTGTAGAAGACCTGGGTTTGAATCCCAGCACCCACATGGCAGCTAACAACTGTCTGACAGCCTCTTCTGTCTTCTGCCCGCATTGCACGACACAGGTGCACTTACCTACATTCAGGCAATACATCCATACACATAAAATAAAAATATTTAAAAAAAAGAAGAAACTCTAAAGAGGCAGAATCAGCCTTTCCTTCTTGGGGATCTTTTGGGGAATTGAGTAGGCTCATGAGCTGTATACACTGTGTGCGCTGTTGAATGTTTATGGACTAATTGAGCCAACATGAGATCTAGGTGATTTTAAAGCCTTGCACTCTCCACCGCTACTTGCTCTGGCGAAGGGCCAACTTTGAGCCCTTGGGAGAACACAGGGAGAGACGGACTTCAGGCCCAGGGCTGCTCTGCCTGAGCTCCTTCCAGTCCTTTTCCTTCACTTGCCCCGGGTCCAGGAAAGACACATGTGCAGTCTCTCCAGTGTCCCAGCAGAGGGAGACCTCGCTTAAGTCCAGACAGGCTGGCGGGGCTAGAAACGGAGCACAAATGATCTATTTGCCTTTTAGACAGAAAACTGAGTGTTGGAGGGAGTAAGGCTTCTGAGCCGAACGTCTCTGGTCTGTTAAGTAAAAAGGATAGAAGCCGAAGTCATTCTGAAGTAGTTTGGATCTAGGCACACCTAACTCTTTTAGTCTCTACTTTGGAACTTACTGGAAAGGGACTTTGAGGAAAGGCTTCATTAGAATGAAAAGAAACGAAGTCATCATCCATTAGAAAGAAGTAGTGAGAAAGAAATGGTGCCGCGGTCCGGTTTTTTTCAACTTTCAGTCTACACTCCACCCCAGGTTTTTCGGTCTTCCGGGAGCCGAGGGTGGGGCGGGGCGGGGTGGGGTGGAGAACCACCGGGAGCGGGCCCGGCCCGCGCGGTGGGTGATCTCGGGATGCTGGGATTTAGGGTGAGGGCGGGGTAAAATGGGGAGCGGAACCTGGACCCTATCACCCAGCCCAAGCCCGGTAGCCAGGGCTGTCCCCTTGCTAACTCCTCCTTTTCCAGCTGAGACTCGTATCCCGCATCCAAGACCTCCCAACTCGACCTTGGCACTAACGTTGGGGGGTGGGGGGCACAGCTGGCTGGCAGCTGGATGAGGGGGCACGACTCCCGCCTCTTTCCTCTATGACTCACTCTAGAGAAGGAGGCAGACTCACAAAAGACCCCCAAACCTTAGGGGCTTCCCCAAAGATGCCACTCTTATCTTCCCACTGCCTGGCCTCTCCAGGAGCTGGGATGGAAATGGACGACAGCCCTCTTCGCCCACGCGTGCCACAGCCTACAACCACGTCTCCCCCTTCATACTAGTAAAGATGTCGCTAATTTTCTCAGCTTCAGTAAAGTTTTTGAGGGGTATGGGTGAGCGGGAAAGATGGGACAGGGAGCCCTCAGAATAGCCCTGCCAGAGCCCCAAATTATCTTCAGTGTCTGGTGTCTAAGTTCTGGAGTCCTCTACGTACCCCCTCACCCCAACTCCCAGGAGCCGGCCCCACCCCCTTCTCCCGGTCCCGCCTTCCCCGCCCCCGTGCCTTCTCGGCCCACCCAAGTCGCCGCCGCAGGCTCTGGCTGCAGACCGCTCAGCTTCCCCCGCCCGCCCGGGGAGCCCAGTCAAGCGAGTTGGGGGGGGGTGAGGGGCGGAACATTCTTCTCCCAGCACAGAGCATCCAGAAAGCAAGCCGGGGCGCCCTGCGGGGTGGGGGCAAATACTGTTGGCGAGTGGGGTCCCTAGAGTGGGATGGGAAAGGAAAAAAAACTAGAAATTACAGAGAAAGAAGTGCCCGAGTAAATAGAATAAGGTGTGTATGGAGAGGACACCTAGGATTTCGGAGTATTTCAGCCAGCTTCCTAAGGGTTAACCCCGATAGACCCCCGGGAACCCCCTAGTGACGTCAAGGGCGGGGTCTGAGTCGAGGGCAGGGATGCCGCGGAGATAATGGGGGGGGTCCCCTGTGGACCCCGCCCCCTAGGGAAAACCACCCTTGTTCCGGACACTTTTCCCCCAGGAAACTGCCCATTCTCCCTGTAATGGAAGCAAAGACCTATCCCATAAAGACCCCAGTTCTCCAGACCCCTAAAACCATCAGTCTCAACAGGGTCCCCTTTCCCTAATTCTGTCCCCAAAGCTAACTGTCCAGAGTTGATTGTTTCGGGGTCATGGGGCCTGAAAGAGGATTCAGAGCGGGTGAGGGGGGGCAAGGGCAGGCAGGGTGGTCTGAACCAGAGGAGGGGCCTCGGCTCCCCTTGGGGGGGGGCAACGGGGATATACAAGCTGGCAGCGGCCAGTGGTCCCACGCAGCCCCAGTAGGGGTCTCCCGGCGGCTCGCTTCAGCTGCCCCGGTGGTCTAGAGGTCAGAGGGTCAACACAAGGTCTCCCTAGCTCTTCCTAAGGGCCCTGCCCGCAGTCCTAGGGACTTAAAAGCCCCAAATTCCTAGAGATTTTTCTAAGGCCTAGACTACATGTCAGGCAACCCCTCCAGGCTCCTTCCTGGTCCCAAAACACTTTTCCCCCCAATGCAAGCATCCACCGGCACATCTGTCATAATATAGGTCAGGGGTCCAAGCCCAGCTGGGCCCCAGTGACTTTGTTGCCTCTCATACTCCTATCCCCATCCCATCCTTAGCTCCCTCCTTTGCAGTCCGTCCTCTCTATTCAGAAATACGCCCGTACAGACACACCTGGAGTTCCCCTCTCTACCACGCAGACCTCCAACCGGCCGTCCCAACAGCCTCTTCATCCCAACTTCATGAAAGGAAGATGTTTCTAATATGTGGGAGAGGCGGAGACAAAGAGAGCCGAGACAGACACAGACTGTCAGAAGAAAAAGAGGAGATAACAGAGAAAAAGAGACACAAATTAAAAAGAAAAACCAGACTTTCTAATAGCTCGCCCCAGTTTCTCCCACCCCATTTTGCCTCTGCGCCCCAGGTCTCCTTCTGGGATAGGATGAGTCCCCAGGCGTCAGAGCATCTTCTCAGCCCCCTCCCCCATCGCTCCCAGGTGGTCCCCCCCTCCTGCCCCCCTTCTCACCTCCGTCGAGGCGCAGGACTCGGGATGCTTGGTCCAGGACTGGAAACTGGTCTGGGGCGGGGGGTCGGCCGCGAGGGGGGGGGCGACAGGGCCAGGGCAACGCAGCTTCAATGCCTCCCCACCCCCCCCAACCTGGCCCCCAGCCCTCGCGCCGGCCCAGCCGGCAGGGCTGAGAGCCGGGACCACCCGCGAGAAGCGCAAACTTTTTTTTCCTTTTGCAAAAACTTTTTCTCGCTCTATCCACTGGCGCGCCGCAACTTCCCGCTCACTTCGCTTCTATATCCCTCCTTCTGGCCGGTTCTAGATGAGGTGGGGTGGCTAGATGCTAGAGAGGGGGT